TCTACGGATACATCTAGATGAATATCTTATATCTAGATGAGGCTACCCAATGTTTAAATAATGCCTGCGTAAAGAAACTACAAACTAATTGGAACTTTTTTTTTCAGCAGTATTGAAATAAATGGCCATAAAATGGGATATAGCTTCAGAGTTTCTAACCAAAAGACAAAATAAGATAAAATGTTATTTTCATAAGCTTTCGACACATAAATTTCAATCCTGTAAAGAATATTTTAAAGTCAATGTATTTAACTGCATTTTAGATATTATTTTAGGACAAATAAATTATTGATTTATTGGCATGAAAAATGTGAGAGATTGGTTTAGCTTTTTGAAAAATTAATATATAATCTGTGCTGGGGAAACTGGATTAGTACAAAAATGTGACAATTTATTAGATATTTGTTCTGAAACACTGTTATGAGAATTTACTTTATAATTTATAAATGCACTACATTTGTGAAAATATGACTATTTAAGAATTGGAAACTTAATGTTAAAAAAGTAACAGTCACTGAAAAGGGACTTTTATGAAATGTGTACAGTTTTATTGCTTTTTTTAATGATTGTACTAACTGTTGCTACAATAGACAGATTGTTTTCAAATTTAAAAATCATTAATGATTATCTAAGAAATACAAATGGGTTCTTATTGTTAATAAGAAAATTGATAAGCTCCTATGTAACCAGACTAATTCCTACACCAAAGCAGTTCTTAGTTCGTTGATTGTTGTTGTAGGTAACTGGTGAATTGCATTTTCCATTCCTAGTGCCTTCCAGACATGCTGAATGAGGTTCATTTTTGGATATCTAGCTGGCCAATCCATCCGCTGAATATTCTGACTTTGAAGTTAGCTGAGCCCAATGTAAATGAATGTTATCCATAAAAAAGAACTGAGAGCCAGCTGGCTGTACTCCTAGAAAATCATCTGTGAGGTTCTAGATCTCTTTTGTATGCCTGTTTAGCAGTCAGAAAACCCTTGTCAAGAAATGAGGAGAATGGTGAGGAGCCATCTAACAACTTGTTTGCCTGAATATGGCATTTCTGCCACCACAGTTGTTCTTTTCCTTGAAGTTAGAGGAATGGTTTTGATTTCCATGTTCTTTTCAGTGTATTGAGAATCAATACCTAAGCTACATCTAAACTTGTCACGTAAGAGAACTTGTCCTTCGAAGCTAAATCCATGGCTGATATTCTCTGCACCATGCTAGACATACTGTCTTGTACAAGACAATAAAGTCAACACAAATGGCAGATCTTCTGGTAACATGATGTGTCTTAGAATGACTTTAAGGAATAATAACCCTTGAAACTGAGGTTCCAGTTGCAGCAAAGAGTGCACCAGAAAGCTGTGTAGTTACAGTAGTCCTTCGGTACCTTACTAAAAATACTAAATATTGGTCTCCAATGGGGATCTTAGCTTTCAGACTACCTTCACTAGGACTTCCAGATCTGGTCTTTTGAAATTATTTCTGCAGTTTGCAGACAAGCTTAGGCATTACATTGGAACCCGAACTTGGGATTGCCCTGCTTCCAGTCTGCATAGTTTTTCATACTTACCGCTGTTATAGCCCCATTTACATTCATGAATATGATTATATATTCAGCATCAGCACTATTGCATTATTGAATTATTATTTAATTGCATATTTTCCAATTTGGTTTCAGTATGTTTTTTAAGTAAACAAGTGTTAATTGTCTAATTTTGAAAAGCAATGTACTTATGAAAATGATTACTTTTTTAAACTAATTTAATTTCATATTAATAAGGTTATAAAGTTTTTGTGCTGGGGTATAATTTCAGGGTTTGACTAAATAATTTGTTTGTTTAATGGCTTTAAATTCAGAAATGTTATTAAATTTATTCAAGTATCTCTAGCATCTATATAATGCACAAGCTTTACTAATGAATTAGCTTTTATGGTATTTATTTGTATGAAATCAATATTTTTCATTTTATGTGTTCTGAGATCAAGACAGAGATAATGAGACAGAAATAAAATATTTAAATATGTGTGACATTGGTTATAACAAGAGAAGTTGGATATTAAGACTCTTGCAATCTCATTCTTTCTTTCTTTTTTCTTCTTTCTCTCTCTTCTTTTTTTTTTTTTTTTTTTTTTTTTTCAATTTCGAAAATTATAATAATTACTAAAGTGGGTACACTTCACAAAAAAAAGAACAGTTCTATATCTCCCATTCTGCTGGACCGATTGTTAAAATTCAAATTGCGTTTATGTCTCGAAAGTGCGACTTTGGATATATATTAGATTTATATATAGCATTGTTCTAACATAGGTATTTTGACACAGAATCGGACTTTTTCAGAAATGACATGCCAATTTTTTTCCGTATTTCAATTCTACAACTCAAATTATGCCTAAATATTAACTTTTGTAAAATTTGGTTCATAATTTATGGATAAATTAAAAAATTTATCTTGGTAAATTTTTGTCCAGATTGCACCAAGAATAATTCACTTGGTGAACTTCTTAATTTATAGCAACCTGTTTTTCTTTGCCTTTTTTCTTTGTGCAGGAGTGGGGGCAAAGTCATCGTTCATAATTTCAAAGAATTTTAACAAAATGCATACACCACATTTTCGTTATTATCACTTATAATAAATACGGCAAAATGTAAATTCACGGTATATCTTAGGAAGTTTTGAATAAAAAACTCTAATATTTTGCAGGTATGCTTAGAAATACATCTACTTTAAGATGATGGCAAAAATTTTATAGGTTATATTTCAAAATTCTTTTTGAAAAATTTCTAAAAATTGTTTAAAAATATAAATTTAAAAAATGAATCATAAAAAATTGGCGAATTTTATTTGGAATGAACCTAAATTTCGAAATATGAAAAGAAGAATCAAGTAAGTTTAATAAAAAAATCTGATGTGTACACCACATGACTTCCTTGTAAGGAATATTAAATTATACGCATTTTTTCTTGCATTTCATTTAAACTTATTGGATTGAATTAAATCTACTTCGCCGACAGCGCACAAACCACAATAGAATAAATGCATTCTTTAAAATTCACTCTAGTATTTCTTTACCATAGCGACACTCTGGCGCTAGATTCACTTAACAGTATTATATTTCGTTCATATTGTAACTCATAATGCACAAAATTTATATCATTTAAAGAATAGAATTATCTAATCATTGCCACATGTTCTATTCAAATACTATAATAAAGCTAGAATGATGTATAAAAGAAATTAAGCAAACAAAACAAAAAAGAAATAGTTTTTCACAGACGATTGAGTATTTCTCATTCAATTAATTCAGTTCTCACTTCAGGAGAAGACAAAAATACATAAAAACTCAAAATATCTATATTAAAAATTACGAAGTAAATCTTAAACACTTATTTCCTCGAAAAAATTCCAGAAAGGATTAAGCATGATTTAATTGGCAATAATAAATGAAGGCGTTATCTTTGTCGTTGCAAAGTTAAGTTTCTCTAGACTGGCAACAAATCCACTAGTCTGCTGTTTCAAATGTAAACAATCAATGGCCGCTATAAAAAAAAAGGCTTAGCTGCACTTAAACAACTTTAAAATTGTTGATAATTCTAAAAATATTGCATACAGATTTACAAAGGCATAAAAACCTTAACCGGAAGATAAAAACAACATAATTCAATCATTTTTAAAGCAAACAATGTACAATTTACAAATATATAAAAGTAAAGAAACTGAGATCACTGAGCCGGGTAACAGAGTGGATGTATATATAAATATATTTATATACGTTTGGTGCGGCCGATTGCATCCAAAATACGAGGTGCACATCTACATGTTATAGCAGTTCTATATACAAAATTTCAACGTTGTGAGGCTACTCGTTTTTGAGTTATGCGAGATACGTACGTACTCACGTTTCATGTAATCACATTTCATGTAATCTGTACTTATGAAAAATTCTCTTCAGAATTAATTTTAAAGCAGTTTTATAATATTTTTGGAGGAAACGAGTCTTTTATTCTGTTCTTACGTACAGATGTCCCTCAAAAACATCGTTAAATTGCATTCAATAGCGGTCGAAATGGATATTTTCGTTGAAATATGCTGCCTGAAACTCTTCGCGATTACAATACTTTTTTTTTACTTTGTACAAGGAAGTAAAAAGAGATATTAATAAATATATATCAAATTCAATGAACATTGAGAAGCTAAAATTTTGAGTGCTAATTTTTTAAAAACTACTCCTGCGGTTTTTACAAAACTTGGTAGTTTGGCATAATTTGAGTCGTAGAATCAAAATTGAAATATGGAAAAAAAAAATGGCATGTTGTTTCAGAAAAAGTCAAATTTTGTGTCAAAATACCTATGTTAGAACAAGGCTATATACAAATCTAATACATATCCTAAGTCGCACTTTCAAGACATGAAAAAGTAAAGTTGAATTTTGTCAATCGGCCCAGCAGAACAAAAAATATAGAACTGTCATCCCCCATCCCCGCAGTGTACTTGATTTTTGTATGTGAATGTATTGCATCGGCACCATTTATAAAATAGGTACTTTGAAAATATAATTCATTCACAAAAACTGTTAATGGTTCTTTAAAAATAAAATTAAATTAAAAATAGTATTATTTTATTAATAACCATAGTGCAATTATTCTCAAATTTGGAAATTTTTAGTGCAAGAAATCAGTAGCCAATTTTGTAATTTAATAATTCAGCTTGCTATTTATAATGACAAGTATATATTTCTTTAAATTATTATTACAGACTATATTTCTTTTCCTTTTCACATTTAGCTATTTATTTTGATTGCACTGAAATGGATGCAGTTAAATTTTCATCCAGTTTATCTTACTGAATTTGCTTTGGTTTTATGAAAATTCCAGTTTTATTAAATGATCAAGCTTTTTTCTATTTTAAACTGTATATATTTGAATTAGTTATTTTAATATAATTTTTTTAACATTATTTTTATTGCACCTGTGACCTGCTAATGATATCTCTTAAAAACTATAATTTAAGCTTTTGAACAACTGAGAGAAACAGCCTTAGCAGTACTTCTGCAACTTGTTGAAGTTCCTGTATTAGAAAATCTGCTCTCTGTTCCACCTGATCTGTCAGAACTTCCTGAAGCTCCACAGCCATTTGTATTAGAGAATGATTTTACTCCAAGGAAAATGAAGCCTTCTAAACAGGATTTTCGAGGTCCAGTTGCAGATATACCCTGGGTGAAAGCAGCTTCAGCATGTTTAGGAGGACAGCACCCTTCAGGAATTTCTGGTTTGTGGTCAATTCAAGCATGTAAAGTGCTTTGTTACAAAGCTGTTGTGGAACGCTTTTCCTGCTCACCCGAATCTCTAATTCCTGGAGAATATTTTCCAATATGCATAGCAATTGTAAAGATGCTAAAAGGAGAACAGAGGAAACGTGCCCTTCTTGCCCTGCAGCTCCTAGTTTTCCATCTGCCTTGGAAACGAAAACATCAGCTTCAGCATTTACTCAATTTTTTGCACCTGGTTGTTCAAGATCTGTTTGTCAGTGTTGATAAAAAGGTAAGCCTTTGTAAATTAAAGAATTAATTCTCAAATTTGTTATATTTTAAACACAAAATACTAAAATGCTTTACTTATTGTTATGTTAAAAAGGCAAGCAAAATGATATAATGCTCTGTAATTTTCTTTTAATGTACATACTAACTAATCTTTTTAGAAATTAAAATTTTATGTTAGCTTAAAGCCTAGAAGATAAAAAATTTCTTTTAAAGATATAATTATGAATTTTATATTTGTTATAATGTACTAAAGGATAGATGATTTTTGAAAGATGATAAGAGAAATTGATTTTATGCCCTTTGTATTTTTAAAATTAATTAGCTAATTTAGCATGGCATAATTGGTGCACCACAGGAACTAGTAGCTATATAGATAATAATGGAAGCCTTTACAATAATTAAAAGGTGCCACAGTAAATTCTTTCTGTCTTTGAGAGGCTTACAAAAGCATGCTCCTGGAAGTATACAAAAGCATGCTCTTGGAAGTATACAAAAGCATGCTCTTGGCTGTCAATTTCTTGTGAAAGAATAGTTCCATTTCTTTGATTTCTGGAATCTGTATTGAAAATAAAGTCATACTGATTCTGGGAATAAGCTAATAAAGAATTCAAGGCAATTTTAGAACTTCAACCATTTGAGGATTTTGTGTGTAAAATTCCACATTGAAGGATGGCTTTCCAATTCATTATGCATGAAAAGTTCTGCCATCTCTGAATGGATTTGATTTCAGGTTGGTTATATATTGGAAGAAAAGGAATTGAGATACAAAACGAGAGGGCCATTTTGGAATCAAAATTAGGACAGTTGAAACAGAAGTAGGAGCAGCTCAACAATTGATGAACTGAAACCTAAGTTGACCAGTCACACCATCATAAGCAGAAAATATTCTTGAGAGTCAAGGGAACACTTTGTTGTGAACCATTAGTGAAATCGGAAAGTCTTATCTATCTCTTTGATTAATGAGAAGGCAAAATAATTGTTTGACAACAGATTTAATATTGTAGGACATATAATTCATTGAAACACTGAAAAAATATTTGCACATGAAACTCAAATATTTTTGTCAACCAATCAGAATGTGTGTGTGCATCATACAAGTTTCTGATCATCAACCACCAAACCAGAACACACTTGCGTTTATCTGTAGCTCTCATCAGTATTCTCCTGATCCTCATCTTTTCCCTCCTTATCATCTTCCTCCTCTTCACATTCATCTTCCTCATCCTCTTCATACTTATCCTCATCATCAATTTCATTCTCTTCCCCCTCATAATTTCCCGTAGTCACTCTCACCTTCATTCTCTTAATCTTCAGCTTCCTTTTCATCTTTATCCTCTTCTTCCCCCCTTCATCATCATCTCTATTCTGGTACTCATTCTGAACATCTATCCTCATACTCTTGATCATCCTAATCATCCTTAGTCTACTCATCATTCTCATTTCTCAGCTTATCCTCATCCTTATCTTAATTCTCATTCTGCTCCTCCTCATTCTCAGTCTCATTTCAATAATAACTGCTCTTCCATTGGTATTCGAGAAATCCAACTTTTAACACTAGTTGTTGCTAGTACAGGCTTATGGATGTCTCTCTAAATAATCACTCCAGATGAGCAGAAAGAAATTGACTATTTGTTTTAATTAATAACAGTATACAGCAAAATAAATAGTTATAAATAACTCCAGAAAAATGCAGATATTAGGCAAATTCTCTATAACACATAAGAACTATAAAATATTGACATAGTTTCCAAAGGAAATTCTAAAACATGATTTGACTAATACTCTTTGACCTGCTATTCTTTTGAAATCACTCAAAACTGACTAAAAATTGATTCTTTGATGGCTGTCAGAGCTGTATTTGTATGGTGTTGCCAGGTCTTCTGGAGGCATCAGAAAAAAATTTTTTTTTTGCTCCTAGAGCATCGAAAATCTTTTCCTGAACTTTCTATCATCAATGTATTGACAATTTTTATGGCCTAAGCTCATCAGGTTAAATTTCTCTCTGCTATTTTTTTTATAAAATTTTTAACATATAATATCTTTAATCAATTAAGTGATATAACACAATATAAAACTATGAACGTCAATGTCATCATTTTACTAGTGCTACTTATTGACCAAATTGAATCATTTATCATTTGCCAACCCAACATTGCATGTTTTGCACATGTACTGGGATCTGTATCAGATTCACTATCTGAAGGCAATTCGTTTAGCATTTTCAGTGCTTCAGAAATGATCTGTTCTCTCTGATCCATTTGCAAAATAATTAAAAATTAGAAAAAATAAACTAATATTCTATCTACAACTAAAAAAAATATAAACTACAAAATAAAATTAAATAACCATCTACAACTCAAAACTATCAAAACATAGAGCTAACAAAACTTTTATCAATGAAAGCGAAAGAAAAAAAAGAGAACTGCTCTAGTGAAAAACCAAACAGCTAACTGATAAAATTACTCCTGACCTTCAGAAAAACACCCTAACAATATCTTAAATGATAACCAAACCTCCCTTCCAAAAAGAAAAACAAGAAATGAAATGCAGATGTGGACTCACTTTTCTCTCTCCGGAGAATAAGGTCTCCGGAGAACTGCAGTAAAACAAACATATAGTTGTTGGTCTGGTCCTAGTGTTTTAGCAATTCCACTCTGGGCCGTTCAATTTTTGATGTTCACCAAGATGTTTACTGTCCAATTTTAGGCAAGATTTCAAAGTAAAAATTTAAAACTAATACAGAATAAAGAAATCAGCATACAGCCAAGAAAACAACGTAGATATTTCTTTTCAAACAATTCTTTTTATATCCTAAAAAATTCTGGAAGGTTTCTTTGGAAAGTGAGGCTAAAACTAATAATGGCTAAATGGCTAAAATGTACGAACTGGTTTGTGCTGTGCTGCCATCTAGTATAAATAAACAAGGTTCAAAGTAACCTAAAATAAATAAATCCTTTTTCATTAAATTTTTTTGTGTGTACAGAGGGAATTGTTTTGGTGTGCCTGGAGTGGGCACACTGTGCCGGAAAGAGTTAACATATGGAAGTTGATGGTATTGGTTTTAACATTCAAAATATTCACAGAAACCAAGCAGCTAACTATTAGTAGAAAAATTTGCAACTTCTTCAGTAGAGAATTATTGCAATTTCACATTTTTAAGATCTTTTTTATTTATCTTCCAAATTTACTATTGCCAATCTTGCAATAGAATGATCTGTGCTTTCCATTATAAGTGAATGAATAACTTGCATGCTGAGTATAACGACCATTGTGATTAGCTATTTGAGCCATTGAATCTTTTGTCTGCAGAACCTATTGCAAGCTTTGCATATGCGCAATGAAGCAAAAGATCTCACGAGTATTAAGTTAAATAGCTTTCATTTTTTAATGGCGAGTCAGTAACATATGGTTCATTTAAGTTCAAATGCAGCATTGCCCTTAGCTAACTAAGTGGAATTAAAGCTTGTCCCACCGCACATAAACTTTGCCTGCATGCAGTGAAGCAAATAACGCAGATCAGTGTTATAAATAACTTATATAATGTTGCTAAGTATGACACTGGCATATATTTCAATCATTTTTCAAATTATTGAGGTTTAGCTGATCAGAATAATATGAGAAATATATGTATTTCCTAATATTGCAATGCTTGTCAATTGCAACAATTTTCTGTTCTGTTCTTTCACCTGCATATCAGTTTTTTATGGTAATATATCAGAGTTAGGAGTGAAAAATGGTTAAATCCGTTTTTTCTTTCAGTAAACAAGTTTTTTCAGATATTGAGCTAGAATCCGGAGATCAAATGACAAGTTTTTATTTATTTATTTTGAAATTTTCAAAGGATTCATTAAAATCATTTCACCATCTAGGATATACTGGAGTGGCAAAATCATTAAATCATGCAAAATACAAAGTCATCAAATCGTGAATATACAAATTAATGAAAATGCATGAATACAAATTTGTGTTCAATTTTGTATTCACATCAGATTAGTTTTACTTTAGGCATAAAGTATGGCTGTATAAAGGGATAGTGAATAAGTGTTATAAATATTTTCAAGTTTTTTGATGACTGATTGCAATAAATATTACTCAATAGGAAATTTATTTGATAATTATTATTATTAGGTTTCCAGTACAAATATCAGTCTATGCAATGAACCTGTACTGATGAATCTTCGCTATCAAAAGTAAGAACACATTGCTGCTATACAAATGGTTGCCATGTTTTTCAGTTAAGTTGGCTATATTGTGATAGATATCATCCATTCTTTAGGGAATGCCACTTTTGTTTAGCAGCTGCTCAGCAGAAACTCTGGGGAAAATGATCACTTAAATCTCATACTATTGTCCACTATGATAATAGCTTGAGCCATATAACAATATGGGTAATTTTCCTCTGCCCCAAATGTCAAAGAAGTGACTCATTTGGCTTCAGCCTAGATTTTACTCCTTGTGACTTTTTGTATTCTATCAAGGAATACTTGCATAAAATATCTTTTCTCATCACCATTGTGCAGCACTTGCCACCTTTTTCTAGCATAGTGAGAATATGTATTAAGCATCTACAATAACTGCTGTTGGGAAAGTTTAGGTGACATAGCATGTCAACTGTAAAGGAACATACTTTAAAATGTGCACACTTCAGATCTATTACGTTTCATCTTTTTCTGTCTAAAATCTTTTACTATGGCATATGTTGCTTACTCATAGAAGAGTGTTAATACTATCTGTTAATGGGAGAATCACTTTTTTTTTCTTATAGTGCAGAAAATGCAAGTTGTCCTACAATCAGTAGCTACTTTTTTAAACTGCATGATTATGAGATTCTTTGCTCATCAACGTGATAAAATATAGGATATGATTCCATCGTAAATGACCAATTTCTGTAAATGAACTGTTAAATTCAGAAAAAAAGCTTGATTTCCTTTAAGCTCAATAATCAGCCTTCCTTTCATCCTATGCCATGATGTATGCCAAATAGTCACCTGCAGCTCCAGCAAGTACTTATTTTCAGACCTTCTGCATATAAAAGTTTGTGTTTTAAGCGTTCTGTCTTCTATTAGAAGTAATCTAAAGATATTATTATAAGAAATTACTCCTTAAAAAGTTTTATTTTCTAATTTGCAATTTTCAGGAGTTCTAAGGTGCATTTGTAACCCTGTATCTGCTGAGGTATTAACAGTTTCACTTCAACTGCAATTCAGAGAGGCAGAAGAAAGGGATAAATATAGCTGCTAGAAATCGGGGTTTAATTTCTAAAATCCGAATTGCATAGACAGCATTGTTCTAATGTAGGTATTTTGACTCAAAATCAAACTTTTTCTGAAACGGCATGCCAGTTTTTTTTTCCAGATTTCGATTTTGCGACTCAAATTATGCCCAAATATTAAATTTTGTAAAAATTGCAATTGTGTAATTTTGTTGCAAGTATGCCTAGAAATACATCCGCTTTAAGATGATGGTAAAAATTTGATAGACTATAATACAAAATTTTTTTCGAAAAGTTTGTGAAAATTACTAAAAAATACAAATTTTAAAAACAAATCAGAAAATACCTGCGAATTTTATTTGAACCTAAATATTGAACTGTGAAAGAAGGAATCAAGTAAATTTAATAAAAATGAGATATTAATAAATATATACCAAATTCAATTAACATAGAGGAGCTAAAATTTTCAGAACTAATTTTTTAAAAACTACTCGGGCAATAACAAATTGTAATTCTAGGCAGTGTTGGAATTACCCATGCCATTCTGCCTAGAAATATGTCTTACAAAGTAGTGTGCCCTTGAAGCTAATTTGTTTGTATTTCTATTCGGAGGGTCCTGTGATTTTTATTATGGGTAATTACAGAGAGCAAACAATGTAAATGAAATTTTCTTTTTTGTTAGGAAAAATAGGAGCCATGACTGTTGCTGTAGTTTGGCAAATCATTAAAGAGAATGTTGAGTAAATCACAAGAGTAGAAGTGATTGATTCAGAAATAGCAACATGTCACTTGAAGACCAGCCATGCTTTGGCCATGCATTGACAAATAGAATTGAGAGGAGTATTTGAAAATGTGCTACAAGGTTTTATAAATATCATCAAAAGACCATTCACTAGATTTAAAAAAAATTAATTTGTCAAAGAGTACCTACCAGGGAATTTTATTGAAGAATTTGCGAACAAGAGTGCTGTCTGCCAAGTTTATATCATGCATGTTTATACAGAGAAAAAAGAAGAAAAAATTGTGAATGTTGACAGTAACTCGAAGCAGGAATTGCATGCTGACACAAACTTCCTTACAAAATTTGTGACTGTGATGAGTCTTGGTGCTACGAGTCTCGACTCAGAAACAAAATAAGCATCAATCCAATGAAACACTCAAATTTACTGAGACACAGGAAAGTACATCATAATCTCTTAGAATTGTGGACAAGTTTTAGATTGGTTTCTGCACCATGAAAATACTCTGCCCCCCTCAACTGAGACACAGGAAAGTACATCATAATCTCTTAGAATTGTGGACAAGTTTTAGATTGGTTTCTGCATCATGAAAATACTCTGCCCCCCTCACGGTTCTATGCGTCTGCTAAGTCTTAAAAAGTCTGATTTTGTATGTATGATATTTGTCTCACTCATTGAATCATTCTGCATGTGGCTTTTTATTTCTTCAAATAAAGAAAGCTCTCTTAATGATGCAATTCAGTGATGTGGATGATATGCAAGAAAATACGTTGCATGCCTTGAAAAAAAGTATTCTGGGTCAAGAGGTTCAGATTTATTTCTAATAGTGAGTTAAATGTTATGAAAAGTATACCTACGCTGGTAGAGAATGCTTTGAAGGGACTGAAATATGTAAATGTGAATTTTAATATTTGTAACTCTGTATCGAAAAAAATTCTTGTTGTTTTAGTGTACCCCTCATAGGAGGGGATAAATTAATTAAGTAGTATCTAACAATATTTTTATCAAAGAAGATATATCTATTTATCATATTTAGGGCTAAAAAATTTTTTATGCTATGTAATTATTGCTGTTATCTTCAAGAAATCGAGTAATTTAGAAAGTTATGGATTTGCATATAAATATATGTGTATGGGTACTATATTTAGTTTGCATGTTTAATTTTTGTTTTTTCCTGATAGATATCTGCATGAAAAATGTCGAAGAAATAGTTGCATTAGCTCTTTATATGAGAATGATAAAATGATAATGATCTCTGTGAATGATAAAAAGCTCTGTCATTTTACATCATTTAATTTAATGACTAACAGCAAAATAAGCTAAAATGTTCTTTTCTTAAATGGCGACATAAACACAATATCCAAACTATGAAGTGGACTATAATATGAAGAAAGTTATAATTTAAAGTTTAAGATGTGTGATACCAGTGTACTTTCTAAGTCTGTCTTAGCTGTTTTCAAATTATTTGTTTTTAAGATGCATTGAAAAATATGCACATTATTTTGGAATTTTGAAAGTTATTTTTGCAGACTTTTGTTATGCAACATGCAATTCTATTTTGTCAGTATTTTTATGTGCTGGTGTATAAATTTTAATTTATGAAAAACAAATGTTTATATTCTTATCACTTTTCATGACTAATTTGCATAATTTCAAGCAATTTTATTTGGACATTTAATGATTGTATTGTTAACAGTCATTTAATTTTTTATATTATTATTTCAGGTAACAAATTATGAGGCTGTTTTGCGAGATTTTCTTCCCATTGTGTTTAAGCATCCATTGGTATCTGAAGAACCACAGAAAATTTTATTTGATTTTCTGCTTCTAAAATCTGAAGCTGTTTTTTCCATTCCCATAAATCTTCGAAACATTAAAGAGTCAGGTTAGACAACTATTAATTATTTCTAATTTATCATTATAATTTCACTTAAATTTTGGTGTGATTCTGAATAAATATTCATTATGAGGGAAGAGCTTTTATAAATTATAATAGCTTTTTTTAATAATAATTCTCTCAGTTCTTTGATATAAATTAAACATAATTGATATAAATTGTAGCTATATATAAATTTAAATGTTGAAAATATTTGACAATAATTTCAAAATTGTCTTAGTATTAAAATTGATAATGATACCTAATTTGAGCATTATTCTGATTTTAAGTTCTTTTCACTTGGGTTTAGTTTTTGTTTTACTATATTTTCAATGAAATTTAACAAATTGATTTTTGCCAACCTAATATTTTAAATATTTTTAAATATAGCAGTAGAACCTAGCAATGTTTTCCTGCTTTAGTCTAGACTTGGTGTCATTGCTGTTATAGAGATACATTGGTTGTGTCTGCTGCCAGATACTCCAGTCAAGCGTAATCAAGTTTTGGTAACATTAAAATAGAAATTAAATTAAGAAATAAATTAGTATGTGATAAGGTCAGTACCACATGTCCACCATCTATAAAGACATGACTGAATTCCATTGTCATCCAAACTATAATTTCATTCTACCGTAATATGCAAATATAGTAATTTCTTAAAATTTTGTGACCTGGTGTTTTGCTTTTGTGAGCCGATGCTGGGTCATGGCCTGACGTTTGGGAAATGCTGTTGTAATATGTTATTATAATGTGAAGGAGTTGTTCTGTTTCAAATTTTTTCTTAATCCTGTCATGTTCTGCAACTTAAAACAGAAAAATCATTAAAAAATTTTAACAAAGCATTTATATTTTGTAGTTCAATAATTACACGGCAAATACTTTTTATGTAAATGTAACTTATAAGACTTGCATAACAACTCTGCTATGTGTCTTTTTTTTTGTGCGGAATTTTATTGAGATATAATTTGAGTTTTTCACATGATAAATTAAAACATTCTTCAAGACAGAACATACAAAAATATGCATTATCATATTTCCGTTTTCCATAATCATTCAAAAATGCTTTAATTTACCTCCTGCTATATTTTCAATCCCAGAAAATAAATAAATAAAAAATACACATTTAATTATTTGTAAGCTATTCGTAAATACTATATGAGAATAACCGAAAAATACAAGTTAAACTGAGCAAGACATAGAATTGGTCATAAGGGTATAGTCCCACTACACTAACAGTGCAATTCTGCCCTAGTTTTGAGAGAGAACACCCTGGGAAGTAGTCTGAGGGCCTCCTACCCTTCTTCCCCTACTAAAAACCTCTCCAGAGAACTTTTGGCTTGCCATGTATTTTATGTGCCTCCTTATTGCTTAGAAACTCTATGCTTAGAAACATCTATTCCTACTCCAGGATTCAAACCCACTGGCATGGCAGTCAGTGTCGCTAACCACTATACTGGTTGAGCAACACTATAAAAAACAAAAAAAGTACAGCAATCAATATTCGTATCCTCCCCCCTTTTTTTGCGTGTGTATTGATGTAATGATCAAAATATGTGAAAACATTTTAGAGTTTTTGCAAGTATGGCCTGATTATTTCCTATGCATACAAAGTTCCAAGTTTTGTAAGCTCCAAATAATCTTATAATTCCTTTTAATCATGTTTTCATATATAAAGAAAGGGTAATGAGCATACAGGGCACTTAAAAGAATGCTCTCGCTGTTACTTAAGATTGTCTTCATTAAGATCTGTTTGCAAGTTCATGCTCTAGAAGTCTTTATTTATATAAAACAATAACCAAACTTCTGAAAAAATGTATTTTCTTTCAAAATATGGACACTTTATGGTACAACATTTGAGAAAATATGAAAGAAATGACTTAGTTTTCATTGAAATACAATTTTGAGGTATTTTGATTTTGTAGGCTGTTTGCACTCTAAGCTTAATAACGAATGATGCAGTAAAAGGTCAGTGGGAACATTTCATTCTTTGTTTCATCAAATTCTTTTGAAGACTATATCAGATTTAATCTTGCAGGAGCTTTAGATACTTCATGATGTAGTAAAATTGAAGTGGTTTAACCTCTGCAGTATAAACTAAGGAAATTTATGCCTCACTGTATGAAATTATGATAATTTTAATTAAAAAGTACAATAATAAACACATTATTTATTAAAATTCAAAATTTTTGAATTTGCATTTTCTTTGATAATTTGGCACCTCATTCTTATGAGACCAAATATTAACAACAAACAATTACATCATAATGTATGAAAACAGAACTTTTTATTTAAACCACTGAAAGGTTAAAAGTACTTTATAATACACTGCTTGACAATTGTAAGGACAGACAATGCTATCAACCACAGCAACCACAAAATAAAAGGAAGCAAAATTTGGAAAATTAGAACAAAAAGGAGTGTGCATATGCAAATTTTCATTTCCTCGCCTGTACATTATACGATAGTGCTGATAAAAGATTCAAAGCATTTGGCGTGTGCAGGAAGCTGATGTATCAAGTGAAAGTTTTATGGCAAAGATTTAATTGATGATCTTGAAAATTTCTGTATGTCTTCCTGACATCATTTAGATGATTTTCTGAGTGTCCATATTAGTGAAAAGATCGCAGAACTGTACAAAATAACAGATATTTCCAGAGATTTCTTCACTACCCACAGCATTATTTTATGGCTGTGGAAAGCATTTTATATAACTGGAACATGTAGCCAGCTTTGTGGGAGGAGGTTGTTACATGTATGATGCCTATAGGAGTCAGGTACACTGCCCTATCAGCAAAAAGAAACTGGCGCACCACAGCAGTAGGTGGCAGATAAGTTTATTGCTACCACTGGACAGAGGAACTCCCGAAGTACTGTAGCCAAGCATTTGCAAGAAAGAGGACTATATGCCTGCAACTCTGTTGTGTGTATCCCAATGTTAAAACTACACCGTTTGCAGTCGTGTCACATGCAATACCCTTGAATTCAACAGGAGTGGGCTTACATACTCTTCTCAGATGAGAGTAGGTTCAGTCTGTCATCAGGATGTAGAGACCAACTGATTTGCCATGAGAGTTGTACTGCTTATCGTCCAGAAAATATCCAAGAAAGGGATCGATATCCTGCATGAAGTACCATAATATAGGTCAGCTGCATGCCCCTACAGGTGGTTGAAACTTACAGGTGTTGACTGGCCAGCAATACCTTGACGAAGTTCTACTGCCTCATATTTGCTTTTTTCATGGTACTTTCGGTGATACATTTCTTTTAATGGACTACGATGCACCTCATCATCGATGTTCAGGACTGTCTAGATAGCGAGAATATTCAAGACCTTTAATGGCCAGCACATTCTCTAGATCTAAATCATATTGAAAATGTTTGTGATGATCTGGGGAGGTGACTTGCTGGTCGAAATTACCTTCCAATAAAAAAGAACATCCTCTTCTAAGCACTAATGGCCTTACTCCACCAGCCCGCTTGTAAAAGTGCTTTATTTAGTAACATTTATGATGAGTGAGAGGAGTGTGCACATACATCTCTATTGAGCAAAGCATAATTATAAAGTTCCTCGTCCTTGAAAATGTGAAACTAGCCGAAATTTACTACGGACTGCATGCCCAGTTCGAGGAAGCTACCCTTCTATGGTCTAGGGTGAAAGTGGTGCAATGAATTCAAGCAAAGCTGTGAATGTATTGTGAATCAAGATCATTCCCTCATCATCGCACCAGTGTGACTAATGAAAACACTGCATGTGTTCGTGAGCTTATCAAATGGGATGGACGCTGCACATTGCTTCTAATTAGGATGAACTTGGTGTCAGCTATAGAAGTATCCAATCAGTCATCAGAAAGCAGTTGGGCTTCAAAAAAACTCAGTTAGATAGGTTCCAAAGTTACTGAATGATGATAAAAAAACTGCACTAGTTCGAATTCTCAATTGCTTCAAACTCGTTTTGAAGACAAAAAAGCCTTTTTGCATAAAACTGTCACATGTGACGAGACGTGGGTGCATCATTAGACCTCCCAGTCAAAGCCTGCAAGTAGGCAGTGGAAAAGTGAAGAAAACCCCATGAAAGCCAAAACTCGATTGTCTGCGGGGAACTTACTATTACGGTCTCTTGGATCAAAATAGGCTTCAATGTCGACGCAAAAGACGAGACTGTCCCATCCGCCAGGTGTTGATCCTCCACAACAATGCCAGGCCCCACACATAAAGAAACGCAGCATAACTGGTGGAAATATGCTGGAAAATATTTGATCATTCATCTTACAGTCCAGACATATCGCCATGCAATTTTCACATGTTGGACCCCTCAAAGAAGCAGTTGGAGGCAAGCAATTTGAGACCGACGATCATGTGGAAACATTCGTGTGCAACTCCTTAGGTACCCGTCCAACTTCATTCTACGAAAGTGGAAAGAAAAAATTACCAGAACAATAGAGAAATTGTATCATAAAAGGAGAGGATTATTTAGAAAAATAATTTGTAGAAATGTAGATGTTTCCTATTAAATAATTTTTGTTTAAAGTAAAAGCTCATTTATATTTGATTCACCCTCGTATTACAGTAGAAGTCCAGAAATCCACATAGCTTGGGACCAGAGGTTGTGCGGATTTTAGGATTTTGCAGATTTCAGGACAGAAAAGATAAATCATAATATTCAGACTAAAAGTGCAAAATAAATAAGGCATATTAGATACATATTATTAAATTATTATATACATTATTGCAATAACTTATTATATGCGTTAAATTATTATTACATATATAAATTGATTATATTATTCATTGTATTATTATATGTACACAGCATCGAGGTTTGTCAATTTTGCCTCATGCAGAGATTTTTGGTTTCGGATTCCGGTGTTAGAATCACTGTTGCTGTAAAATTCCAACAGCTTTTCTTTATTTTTATGAATATCATACACAATCGTGTCGCAATTCCTTACGATTCTGTTATAAATCGAGGAGTAGCACCTGTTTCCATTTTTCACAGAATTTGCACTTCTTGCAGTACCGTTAATGCAACGTGTTTACGTTTTTCAATGTTCCAAGCAGTAAAATCATGAGTGTGTTTCAAATCTGTAATTGTATTAAAAAAGGGTGAAATTTAAAATATTTTTAATTTATCCACAAAATATTCGGATAAAAAAAGAAGGCAGCACCAAATAATCTTGTGAAATAACAAAGCTCAGAAAATAAAACAACGTGAATCGTGAACTTGATAGAAGAGTTGAGTTAATCGTCTGCTTTTTTACCTTGATGCAGATTAGGGGGGGGAGCTTCTATCATGATGTCAATAATTTGGTATTTCCATTATGACTCATTATTATTCGGTAATTATGACGCCATTATTCTGTAAGTATTTTTTCTTCGATATTTCGTACTCAATGTTGCGGTTTCCGGAACCTATAACTGAATGTTTATATTTTGAGAGGCAACGTGGATTTCAGGAGTTGGGGGATTTTAGGTCGGCAGATTTTCGGTGTATTCATATTTAATGTAAACTAATATACTTCCCCTGTTTCCAACGTTGAAAAAAATTCCGGCTGATGTTTAAAAAAAAAATTCAATAGATCGTTTATTTGATTTATTTTGATTGAAATCTATTTGATGTAAAATCAAAATGTGAAATGTGTTTCTGTGGAAAGAAACCTGAAATTATCCATCTGCTTCCAATGTAATTAAATTATCTTGAGAACATCTAATTACCAGAAGTACCATATTGTACCCGTATTGTCATTACAAAGTTTTCTAAGGATTTCAATGAATATATATATTTATTTGTATGATATTTAATATTTCTCTCTGAAACATAATAATTGAAAATTCCAGGCATAATTTATGATTATAAACATTTTGAATTAAATAAAATGTAATAAATGTTGCATTTTTTATGCTAATTTCATTGAAACTAAATGCTTTTCTGAAATTTTATTAGGTTTTGGATCATGTAAAAAGGTACAGAGTAAAAGCCTACAGACTTTTACAAAAGAATACACTTCAAAATGTCTAGCAAGTTTAGCCACAAGTGTAGTTGATAGCACTCATATTAAACTTGCTGAAAAGAAAACTTGGCTAAAAAAGTTTAAAAAAAATCACCCAGAAGTTTATGATGCATGCTGCTTTACAGAGTGATATCTTCAGATATACCAAATGTTTCATGTAAAGATTTTTTTTTTAAATTTCTCGTAATAAATTTGCATTCCACTTTCTTCATATATACCAAATGTTTCTTATAAATTTACATTCCAGTTACAGTTACCAAAGAGGAAATAGTTGATAATAATATTAGATATTGCAATATATTATGATGTGAAACTAATATTTACAATTAAATGATAAGCAAGCATATAGTACCTGGATCTTTGAATCATTTAAAAAGATGCTGATTCATCTATTCTGCATTATGGAACTTTTTTCTGCACGTGTTTCTATTTTTTGATATGTATTGGACAGTTAAAAAAGATAAGAGCTCTCACAATATACAAGACAGGAGATTTAATAGTGAAAAAAAATGAGTATTTACACTTAGGCTCAGAAGACGTGTTCACAAGTACATTAGGCATTCTTTTCTTCAGAGAATCATTCCCTTCTTGAGTAAATTGTTAATGGAATATATACTATAGTCAGCTTACCTAAATCTACCTGTCAAGGAGCCAGCTGAATAGTATCTAATAGAATGTTTTGTAACCTGTATCTGCTATAAATATCACTAACGAAGTGTCATAATTTGATTGTATTGAAAATTAACACTAGATGCAATTGACAGTGACTCACATAGCCTTAAAGTTGCCTCCATAGTTTGTTCATTATCATTCAGGGTACCAAAAAAATATAATAATGCTAATAATAATAAAGAAAATTTGAATCTGAAAGGTTTCAGGTTTTAAATTACGTCCAAAGGGGCATTTATTTAACATTTTGTGTGTTCCCTTTATTTATTAAATATCCTGTTCTTCGCACTTAAATCATAAAATTCAGTTCAAGAACAATATCTCAAAATAATTTTAAATTCAGCATATCTTTAGAATTTCCGATACACAGTCTCAAGTGCTAAAGATAATAATAATAAAAAAAAAAAAAAAATTATTTTTTTTCCCCCTGTACAATGCTGCCATTGCTCGCTTTGACATCCTTGATTTTGTTAATCAGAAATTCTTTAAAGTTTTACAAAATATGAAATCGATAATAAAACAAATTTCAAATTTAAGCTTCCACATGCCCATATTTGCAGTAGGGTTACTTCAAATATTTGATGGCTCTAGGTACCTTTGTTTTATCACAATGCGAGAAACATTCATACATTTATGCAGATTCTTCATTATTTAATTTCTTCAAATGTAATACAGGGCGATAATATTTGTTGGCAACAGTTTGAAAAGTGATACACCCTTTTAAAGATTTCAATGAAAAATGCCAAAATGAAAACAATTGTTCCCCAGGGGCAAAGCCCCTTTGGACTAATAACTAAATAATGAACAAAAATAAAAAATCTGAAAGGTTTCAGATTTTAAATTACATCCAAAGGGGCATTTTTTTTAACGTTTTGTGTGTTACCTTCATTTATTAAATATCGTGTTCTGCGTACTCAAACCATAAAATTCAGTTCAACAGCAATATCTCAAAATAAATTTTAAATGAGCATATCTTTAGAATTTCTGATATAGAGTGTTGTTGGAGATAAAAATGTCCCCTCCCCCCATACAGTGTTGCCATTGCTCACTTTGAAATCGTCGAGTTTATTAATAAAAAATTCGTTAAAGCATTACAAAATATGAAACTGATAATAAAACAAATTCAAATTAGGGCTTCCACATGCCCATATTCTATGAAAGATTTTGTTATTCAAATTTTGATGGCTCTAGGTACTGTTGTTTTATCACAATGTGAGAAAAATATATACATTCATGCAGGTTCTTCATTATTGAATTTCTTTAAATATAATACAGGGCTCTAATATTTGGTGGCAACAGTTTGAAAAGTGATTCACCATATATAGTTTTCATTGCAAAATGCTAAAACGAAATTAATAGTCCTTCAGGGTGAATTGCCCCTCTGGACTAAAACTTTGCAGACTATGGCTCATTATTTTTAAATCTGAAATCATATACTTACAGTGGTGGCCGAAATTGTGGACACTTTTGGAAATTTTTGTTTTTGAACTTTGTATGCTTATAGAAAACGTTACGTTTCACAAAATGCAAACTTGTATATATCATTTTTAAGATAATTTATTACTGAATTCAATACAAAACACAAAATTCAATTATTTGCAATACAAAAAAAGTTAAACGATAATGGTTATCGATATACATTAGATAGTGATGATTGCAGTGAGTATCAGTACTTAGTAGGGTACCCTTATTTTTTATTACAGCTTCACATCGACGTTTCATTGAGCTGACAAGAGTTTTAAGCTCTCTTTTGTTATTACATGATGCCAGGAAAACAATTATAGCTCAATTAGTTCCCTTTATTTGATGGGCGTCTCATTCGGCACAGGGTTCGTACGGTCCTTAAGTCCTAATTTTTTAAAAATGATTTTTGGTCCTTAAAAGTCCTTAATTTTGGCCAATGAATAAACGTCCTTAATTTTGCTCATTTGACATTTCTTATCATTCTAATGATTGCCATTCTAAGTGTGAATTGCAATTTCTCATGAATATGAAATTAAAATTACACGACTCTTAACCAATCTGTTGGCGGATTTGCGTTGCAAACGATAAAAAATTAATTACCTAGCCTAGAATGAAAGTATCGGGGTCTGATTGGCTATTCACCCAATGTTTTGAAACAGGTGTTATCCATAAATTTAGGCAGATTGTGACGAAAGCGGGAAGTTCTTTAAGAGGCGAAAATGATGATGAAGGTGCTCGAAAAAAAAAAGGGGGGATTCTGAAAATATTTGCCAAAATTAGAGCAATCCAACCTGGAAGGCAACACCCTTCCGACGCCAATAGGACGAGATGCCTGAAAGTGCTTTTTCAATAAACGTGGCTTCATCAAGCTGACTACAAAGACTGGACATTGATGATGACATCCTTATAAGCATGTGGTCTTTGTTTGAAACAAATTGAAATTTCTATACTGGGAGTCTGCTGAAAATTCACATAAATTAAGTTTCGTTTTATCTTTCAATTTTTTTTACACGGTTTTTGCTTAGCTTAATTTCTGTGTTTGTTTCAATTAGTAAAATTTTTTATCACCTTTTATGGAGTTTATTCTTCAATACTATATTAGGGATATCAGGATTAGAGTTTATTCGGCAGATGTCTGTTAATCGATTCGCGGGAAATCGGTTGCGCTCCATGTTCGATTTTAGTCGCCAAGGCAATTCTGTAACGTTAGCGAGAAAAATTAAGTTTTGTCATCGCATGAAAACCTTCTGTTTAACTTTCCTAAATTCTGCCACCTGGTGCGGCCATGCGAGCTCTGGTGCTGGTTTGGTTTATGTGAATACAAAATCAGTTATTCTTAATTCAAATAGCACTAAATATAATCGTTTGCCCTATGAGTATCATTAACAAATCTATTTTTAGCATAAGAAAGAAATTTCTCTAAAATCTCCCCTTGTCAACATTTTTGCGCATTAAACTTAAATCTGTAATCGGATAATACTCTGTTATTTGGCGTCGCTGCCTGAGTCATCACTCAAGTTGTCATCCGTTGATAAACATGCGGTGATGAAAGCAAAATACAATAAATAATGATTCACGATTTCGGCATCAAAATATAAAATTAGTTGGTGTAAAATTAACAAATTTTCGGTTTGAGATTATGCCAAGCAGATACGCAGCTATGGAGTCAAGTTACTAATCACACAAATTATGCTAAAATAATTATTTCTTCAATAATGAGATATTTTATTTAGCGCCAAACTGAGATTAAGAATCGGGCTTTCTGGCATGTTTTTTTATGATGAGGAAAAAAATCTAATGCGCATGCCTAAAGCATACCCCTTCCCTCCAAAAAAGCCCTAAAAAATTGGTTTGGTGGTGGCTTTGAGGTCTGGATTTTAGGTCATTCCAGATATTGGATGTCCTGATCTCGGAATTTGTACTGTATATATGTATATGTACTGTATACATATATATTTTTTCAGTATACATTTCTTATATATATATCTTCTTATTATATCTCTATCATAGATACATTAATATATATATGCGACTTAATTTTACTAATGCCTTGCATGTAATGCCCCTTTTAGCTGCAAAACATCTTTCCTTCTCAACTGCAGTTTCTTCTAACAGTACATAATTTGTCAAGTTAGGAGAACCATCTACTTCAGGAAAAGATGTAACTGCTAATTCAACATCAATAAGTGTAGAAAATAATAAAATCAATTTTTTTCTTTTCAAATCTGAAGTTACAGATGCAGAAATATTGTGGACTTTTAAGTGCATCTAAAGCCACTATTCTTTTAAATCGTGCGATGATATTGGGCCGTTATCCACTAAAATGTTCCCGGATAGTTCCATTGCAAACTGGTTTTCATGTGGTGTAAAGAAATGTGCTTATATCTGTTATTTTGGTCATGGCCCTTACTTTAAACCTTTGTTACTAAAGCATTGTAAAAATGCTGAGTGTTTTACATTACTATTTGATGAGACTCTTAATCTGACAAATCAAAAGAAGTAAATAGATATTAATGTGAGGTACTGGCATCACGAAAATAGGTCAGACTCAGTACCCTTACTTCTGCATTTATAGGGCATGCAAAAAGTGAAATTATTTTATCCAAATTTATGAATGTGTTTGAAAACTACCTTGTCAAAACTCTTACAAATATCGATGGATAGTCTGCAGTAAACTGGAAATTTATGATTATGCAACAGGACTTGACAAAGAATATCACATCAATGCTTGACATTAGGGACATGGGTTTTACACATTCTTAACAATGCTTTCAAGCATAGGATGTCATCCCAGCTGGGAATTCCATCATTCTTATCCTCCTTATATTGGATTTTTAAAATTCTCCTGCAAGATGAAGATTTTTTAAGTATATCTGGCTTAAAAAAAGCTACTGTGAAGTTCTGCTTTTACCGATGTTGCAAAATGTCCCAGCGTTGAAAGAGCCATTGAAATATGGATGACTCGCTATGTACATTAAAGAAGTTGAAATGGGGAAGTTTAAAAAAAATTCATCGAAATCCTTCTCAAATATTTTGGAGGCAACTAAAGATAAACATTTCTTATAAAATTAAATTTTTCTCTCTGTGTCGAAAAATTTTTGCCTTCCTGATATTATCAAAGTGAAACCACTTATTCCCTTTTTGCTGAAGATATCTTAAACTTGTAAAATGATTGCCTTCAGCACTTTAAAATTTGAAACAGAATATTCAAAATAACTAAAGCAGAAATCGTTATAAATTTAATTTTAATGATCCAAATTGTTATAATGATAAAAGTAAAGTTTATTTGGATTCATTGCTGAAACAAGGTCCAATGTGTCAACAATAGTAACACTAATGTCTAAATGTCCATAAATTATTCTCTTATTTCAAATGCATCTTGTATCGACCCACGATTGAAAAAGCCCAGAACAAAATGAAAAGTTCTAACGGTATTAATGCAGAATAACATGTTTTACAAGATGATTGGGATGAAATTCTGCTGCAGTTTGGAGAGTTTCTAGACAATTTACATGAATTTCTACTTTTGATCCTCAAATCTTTCTCTGACACATTTCTCACTTCTTTTTTTCATGATTTTCACTATTCAAAGTATGGAAAATAGTGAAATGATTCTTATCTGTCACTGGACAGGCCTCTGTGGAAAGGGGCTTCTCTTTAAATAAAGCATTGAATTGAAAATTTAGACTCATCATACATTTTTCAACGCACAGTATTGATTACATAAATTTTCTGGAGTTGTTCCTATATCGAATTATAAAGAAATGAGATCAGCAGCAGCTTCTGCAA